AGCTCGGCCCCAGCACCCTCCTTCCCCTGCCCCGGGCTCCCCAGCAGGCAGGGAGCCCAGGCACCCTCCTCCCCGGCCGCACATCCCCACTGCCCGGCCTCGGAGCCGCTGTTTTCATAGCAAGAGAAACTGAGGCACGGAGAGCATAGTTCAAAGCAGCCCCCGGCGGCCTCAGCATCCCCAGGCTCACTTTTCCCTCCCCTTGGCCACCTCCTCTCATCCCCCCTCAAGGGCGGCAGGCCGGTAATCCACTCACCTCTCCCTGAAGATCTGGCCGGCCACCCGGCAGGACCCCATGCCGTGCTGTGAGGTGCTCCAAGGACATGCTCAGAGTGACAGAGGAGACGAGGAGGTGGGGATCGCCGTGCTCAGCCTGTTGCCAATCGGAGCTGGGTTTTGCTTTCCACCCAAATCATTTGACCTGTCTCTGCTTGGCAAAACACGAGCCACGACCATCACTTAACTGCACATTTTGTTAATTCCCTCCACACCAAGAGCCTTCCCCTGGTTGTCAGTTAGAAATGGGAACAACATCAAAAATTCTAGTGCTCATTTTTAGGGCTTCAAATATTGTCAGGGCCGCTGGTCAGCTTGAACTTGGGTGCTTAAATTTGCTTCAGAAAGGAACCCAGAAGCTGGAGAAATGGACAGCAATAGCACAGCAATTATGTGCTCTATGTGCTTTGGAAAGAGCCTTCATGAGAAACATCTATGGACTAAACAGCTATGTAAATAGATACATACTGAGATTATTATAAACTGAAAGTTAGTTGTTGTTTGCGTTCCAGAAAGACAACCTCTCCCTGAAGATCTGGCCGGCCACCCGGCAGGACCCCATGCCGTGCTGTGAGGTGCTCCAAGGACATGCTCGGAGTGACAGAGGAGACGAGGAGGTGGGGATCGCCGTGCTCAGCCTGTTGCCAATCGGAGCTGGGTTTTGCTTTCCACCCAAATCATTTGACCTGTCTCTGCTTGGCAAAACACGAGCCACGACCATCACTTAACTGCACATTTTGTTAATTCCCTCCACACCAAGAGCCTTCCCCTGGTTGTCAGTTAGAAATGGGAACAACATCAAAAATTCTAGTGCTCATTTTTAGGGCTTCAAATATTGTCAGGGCCGCTGGTCAGCTTGAACTTGGGTGCTTAAATTTGCTTCAGAAAGGAACCCAGAAGCTGGAGAAATGGACAGCAATAGCACAGCAATTATGTGCTCTATGTGCTTTGGAAAGAGCCTTCATGAGAAACATCTATGGACTAAACAGCTATGTAAATAGATACATACTGAGATTATTATAAACTGAAAGTTAGTTGTTGTTTGCGTTCCAGAAAGACAAAGGCCTCAGCCAAGTTTGAGGCCCCGTTGCACAGTCCCCTTCACATGGCCAGAGTTAACCCAAAGAGCCCAACATCCATCAGGGAACGTGCCCCATTTTCTCCCTGGCCCCTGGGCTGGACCTGAGGCACGGTGCCTGGCGACACATTGAGGGACGCAGAGTCCTCAGAAGAGTCACAAGCTCAGACAGGAGCAGCAGCGCCTTCCACTCCGCGCCACAATGTACACAGGGGACTGCAAATAGTTACTGAACTTTGTGGGTATGTTTGCACAATTGCATTTGTTTTTTTAGCATAGTTTCCTTGAGAAACAGACCTCCAGCTCAGTCTGTCTTTTCTCAGCAACACCCCTCTTCCCCAATAACATTTCATGCCATCAGCCGTTCTCACCCAGATTTGGAAGAGGGGTTGAAGTCTTTGAGATAATTTAGTTCCTGCCTGGTTTGGGCAGTGGGGAAAGACCCAAAGGAGCTGGCTCCAAAGGGCGGTGACAAAGCTCAGCAGAGATGCCATGGGCAGGCAGCTGATCAAGCAGTGCCCACAGACCCCTGCCTGCTACCTCCCTTCTTAGAATCATAGAATCATAGAATGTTTTGGGTTGGAAGGGACCCCTAGAGGTCATCTAGTCCAACCCCGCTGCAGGAGCAGGGACACCGCTAACCAGATCAGGTTGCTCAGAGCCCCGTCCAACCTGGCCTTGAATGCTTCCAGGGATGGGGCCTCCAC